ACCTGGGCGCCATAGCTTGGACTGCACTCCAGCGATCTGCATCCGAGAGCGCCACTCCGCCAGTCAGTATCGGCAGGACATCAGCAGCAGGAGGTGAGAGGGGGGGAGACAGAGAAGACTTCTGCTTCTTCTTCTTCTCCTTCTCCATACTCACTGCTCTTCTTCTTCTTCTTCTTCTTTTCCTCCAGCGAGAGCGAGAGAGAGAGGTTACAGGCAGAGGTTATGTCGGACTAAGGGGGGCCAGGATCTGATTCCGAATCACAAGGGCAGACATTGATTGGACATTCAACAGGGAGACTATTTGTGGACGGCACTCTCGCAACTTTGGTCTTCTCCCTCATCTTCATCTTGGTCTTGCTCCTCCTCGCTCCTCGTCCATCCCTTCATCCGTGGTTTCTCCCATGTGTGTGTTCAAGGAGGGACCTTTCCTCTGTGTATGTGGTCCCTCCCTTCTCTCTCACATGGTGTGGTGTCTGATGGTTTGGGTTGAATCAGTGTCCGACTGGTCAGGTCATGTCTTCGAGTATTCCACTGCGCTACATTGTGCCATTTTGGTATGTATATGGATGTACATTGCTTGTTCATGCTTCACTGAGGTTGCATTGTCCATTTGAGTCCTTATCATCACTTTGCGGGTCCTTCGGCTGCATTGCGTCACTCGGATTATTCCGGGTATGCATCAAAGACGTCAACCAAGCCACCATCGTGATTGAAATGAGGAGAACATCCAAGCCAAGTGGGCACAAATAGAGCTGAACCAGTGAGGAGATCAGGCAGGAAAAGAAAGTACCTTGAAGGGGTAATGGGAGTTACTACTGACACAGTGAGCAGCTTTCCCTGGAAGTCCACCCTTCAAGTAAAGGGCAATAGCACCGAGATAATCGCCTTCTCTCTCCTTCACAGCACCAGCTTCTTCCTCCTGGTCTCCACATTTTGAGTAAACAACAGTTGCATAAAGCTTATCAAAGACGGATCAACTTATCCATTATATTCTTAAAACCCTGTACGTCTTAGTTTCCGAGTGCCAGAAGGATGGATGTTGATCTTTTTGTCAAAAAAAGAGAGAACTCTCAATTCTATTATGGGGAGCATCAGTTTGTTTCCTCCCCACCGGCAAGATGGAAAAAAATGAAACCCACTCGACTCCTCACCATTGCAGCTGGGGGATCCTGTGACGAGGCAGAGGCAGAGCAGCGAGGCTGGGAGAGAGAGGGAGAGTGAGAGCACACACACACGCTCACTCAACTCGACACAGACTTGACACTACTCGATGGACGCACACACGAAGTGGCAAAAGTTGCAAAGTCGCAGTCGTGAATTTCCTAACACAATGTCGAAGCAAAGTCGCACTGAACACAAGCACTGAGGCTGAAAACTTGGTGCCCGTACTGGGCTTGAGTCCGGACATAAGTATCGGACTCAGGTACGATCCTGAGGGCGAAAGTGACAATGCCTCAGGGCCAGTACTGAAATTGAAAGTCTGAGAGTGGGTGCAGAATGTCGGATGGCACCAAGTGTCCAAAATCCGAAAGTCCCAAAAGAAGGAATTTTGAAAACGGGCGCCAGAATGCAGACGGCGCCAACTGTCTGAAATCAGAAGACCAAAAGTCATGAAAATAATGCTGAATCCTGTGAAGGACGGGACAGGGCCGATCACTGGGAAGCAGGAAGAAAAAGGGAGAGGGGTATAATGTGGGCAACATGTGGGAAACAGGGTTTTCCTACTGACGAGCTACGGGGTATGCGCACTGATGGACTACTGAGAGGGAACAGAGTTTGCCTACTATTGAACTACAGGGTTAGGAACTGCAGGGGAACAGGGTTGTCCTACTGATGGACTACAGGGTTATGATCTGAGGGGGGAACAGAGTTGTCGTACTGATGAACTATTGGGCGAAAGGGTTCTGTCAGGATCTCGAAGTGAATGGGGCTGGGGGGGAAATCGCAGGTTCTGCAAATGGTCTGGCTGAGAGTCTTGAAGCAGGTCTTGAAGTAAGTCCAGGTACAAAATGCTGATGATAAACCAGTCTTCAGCAGGTTTGCGATGTGTAGTAGCGAGGTTTCCAGCTTGAAAGAAGAGGTGTAGCAGTCCAATAGATGAAGGTCCAAGTGCCAGGGGGCGTCCGATACATGATTCTGATGATGAACTTGGATCCGGATAGCAGGTCACAGACTGATCCTGATGTCCATGTCAAGAGTGCTGCTCCAGAAGTCTGCGAGTCCAGGTGCTGGCCAGTGGGACAGCCTGGTGGCCAACCAGCTGCTTAATCTCCTCGAACTGTGCTGCAGCAGACCATTGTCCTCAACTCCTCGTGCGCTTGCCATTAGATCCTTTATCACAGGCGATGTGCAGGCGGCAGGAGCCACAGGTAAGGCTTGGACAAGAGAGACAGAGGATGTGGCGGAGGACAGATTGGGGAACGAGACGGAGGCAAGAGCGGATCAGACAGGTCGAGCGGCAGGGGTTTTGCTGGGTGCAGGGGGGGGGTGTAGAGCAATGAGGCAGGGTTTATGGAGGGTATATGGGTGTTATGCGTAGTATATAGCTAGGATACAGGGTGAGCACGATCATAGGCACGAACAAGTTTCATGGCATTCTTGAGATTATCGAGGGGTTCCCATGTAGATTCTTCATCTGGGTATCCGGTCCATTTGACTTTGTATTCAGTGATTGGTTTCAGGTGATCACATACTTCAGTTGTTCTTCGTCCTATGATAGATTCTACCACGAATTCTGGCCCGGTAGGTAGCATGATTGGTTGGGGTCTAGGATATGGGCGGTCGGCGAATTGTGGAGGTGATTCATGGTATTCTTTCAAGTACTCGACATGGAAGACAGGGTGAACATGGCTCATGTCAGGGGGTAGTTGATGTTTGTAATTTACAGGGGATGTTTGTTCAATGACAGGGAATGGACCGAGCCACTTGTTTGAGAGTTTCTTGGACAAGCCATGTTCGGGTTCAAAGTGTTTGGCGGAGAGCCTGACTTTGTCCCCTACTTTGAATATGATATCTCGTCTGTGTTTGTTGGTTCTGTTGGCTTGTTGTTGTTGGGTTCGTTCAAGGGCGCCAGTGGCTTCTATGAGGAGGCGGTTCATCGTTGCAACCTCTTCATTGAGAGACGGGCAGGGAGTGGATGGGTTGGGCTGCAAGGGGAGTCAGAAGTCTGAGGGCAAGTGGGATGGTAGCCAAGGTCAAGGTAGTATGGGGACATGCTAGTGGAAGGGCAGACAGCGTTGTTGTAGGCAATCTCGGCGGTGGTGAGCAACTGATCCCAGTCGTGCTGGTGTGGATGACAATACTTCCGCATGATCCTTTGGAGAGTATCGTTCATCTTCTCAGTCTGGCCATCGATCTAGGGATGGAATGCAGTGTTGTACTTGAGAGTGGTGCCGTAGGCTTTGAACAGGTTTTCCAAGAATTAGGAAAGGAAGTAAGGATGACAGTCACTGATGAGGTTTTTGAGGAGACCGTGATGGCGTGCGACATGATCGAAGAAGAGTGTGGCAACGTCTTTGGCATTGCGAGAAGTGGTGCAAGGGATGAAATGGGCCCGCTTGGTCAAGCGGCAGTCAATGGCGTAGATGCAGTCATAGCCGCGGTCGGTCTTGGGAAGACCGCACACGAAAAATCCATACAGATGGACTGTCACCTATGGGTGGGGATAGGCAATGACTGGAGCTTGCCAGGTTTGGCCTGGTTTGAGGGGTTGACTGTTTGACAAGTGGGGCATGATCGGATGTATGCTTTGACGTCCGCGAGGAGCGAGGGCGAGTAGAAGTAGCGAGAGTCGAATGTCTTCTGAAAACCAAGGTGTCCTGCGGTCTTGGCGTCATGGTGTTAGGCCAAGAGTTGGGTACGAAGACCACGTGCGTCAGGGATACAGAGTCGGCGGGTGCCTTTAGTGTTAATGTACAAGAGGTTGTCGTGCAGGGAGTAGTCAGAAACGGTGTCGAGGTCGCGAAGCTTGTTGTAGATGGTAGAGAAATCAAGGCATGAAGGGTACCCGTGAGTATAGCGGTGGTGGAGTGAAGGTAGGAGCTGAAAATGAGTCATGGCGGCAAAGACTTTCTCAGGGGGCTTGTGATCGGGTCGTCGAGAGAGAGCATGCATGACGCGGTTGCCTTTGTCGGGGGTGTGACAAATGATAAATGTAAACTAGGCGAGAAAGTCTAACCATCGAGCTTGGTGAGGTGTGATATCTTTCTTGGTGAATATGCTTGAGACGATGGTGTTGTCGGTGTGGATAGTGAAGTGCTTATCGTCGAGCTATGGGCACCAGACTTTGAGGGCATGAATGACGGCGAGGAGTTCCTTCTCATTGGAGGGATAATTCATCTCCGCGGGGATTAGCTTCTTGCTTGCAAATGCGATAGGATACTCGCCGGGTGGAGTCGCGGAGTGGGTGAGGGAATCCTTGATGGAGGGGGGGTCCGGGATGTCGCGAGGGAATTGTTGGGACATGACGACTCCAATAGCAAAGTTTGCAGCATTGGTGGTAACAAGTGTCGAGAGGGGTCAACATTCTTGAGGACAGGGGCTGTCGTAATGACTTGTTTGAGGAGGTCGAAGGCGGCTTGACGGTGTTCGTTCCATGCAAAAGGCTCGTTCTTGTGAGTGAGCTCGTGGAGGGGGTAGGAGATTTCGGAGAAGTCGCGGATGAAGGGGCGGTAGTAGTTGGCAAGACCGAGGATGGAACGAAGCTGCAACAAGGTCGTAGGTGGGGGAAACTCGACAAGGGTGGTGATCTTCCGGTCCATGCAGATACCATCCGCGGGTACAATGTGGTGAAGGTATTCTACGCTTGAGGCAACGAAAGTGCATTTTGTTGAGCTTGGCGTATAACTTTTGGTCTCTAAGGATAGAGAGCACCTGGCGAATGTGCTGAAGGTGAGTCTCGAAGGTGGAACTGAAGACTAGGATATCATCAAGATAGACGACAACACAGACTTCAAGAAGATCGTGAAAGATGTGATTCATAGTAGACTGGGAGGTCGCTGGGGCATTTGTGAGGCCAAAAGGCATCACAAGGAACTCGTAATTCCCAAAGCGAGAGCAAAAGGCAGTCTTATGAGTATCCTCTTCGTGAATGCAGATTTGATGGAAGCCACTTCGGAGGCCGATCTTTGTGAAGTATTTGGCTCCATGGAGGCGATCAAGAAGCTCGAAGATGCGAGGCAAGGGTCACTTGTTCTTGATCGTGATCCGGTTGAGGGCGCAGTAGTCTGTGCACATGCGGAGTTCGAAGGTTCCGCCTTTCTTGACGAAGAGGCAACTTGGACCGAAGGGGGAGGAGCTTGGCTTAATGAATCCTTTTTCAAGGAGTTCATTCAGCTATCACTCCATTTCTTCGGCCTCGGAAATGGTAGGAGGGTCGACATGCAGGAGTGTGATCGGGTTCCTGGTCAATGGTATGAGAGACACCACAATCGGGAGGTAGTCCGGCGGGCAAAACTCGGGAAAGACGTCCTTGAACTCCTCGAGGATAGAGCTAAGCGCGGGGTCGAAAGGGGGGGCTTGGTCGAGTTTGTCCGTCATAAGCAAGTCCTCGGGACGCTCATGATCAAGGACAAGACAGTAATAGATAGAGTCAGGGTTGTGACGAGCCATGTGGAGAAACTGGTGGGGAGTGACGGAAGGTTGGGAGGTAAGGTGGGAAAAGTAGGGAATGTCAAGGGTAGAGTCGGGGGGTGTGGTGATGCGAAAGAAGGTGGGATGGAATGCGTAGGGCATGAAACGGTCGAGCCATGGGGTTCCCAAGACGACGTCGCACATCAAGTGCATAACATCGATTGAGACCTGATTGCGGAGAGAGCCGACAGTCATTGTGGTCTCGGGAACGGTGCGGTCTACTACGATGGCGGTATCCTTGTCCCCGAGTCGAATGGTGATCGGGGAGTCATAGCCGGTGGAAGGGAGACTGGCTTTGCGGACACAAGCCTCGGTGATGCAGTTACCGGTAGTCCAATGTCAAGGAGAGCCCGAAACTTGAGTGTAGCCACACCTAGGGAGGCGGCGATGAATTTGAGTTGGAATCAGGAGTCGACGGAGGCGGAGGAGATCATGGTGTTGAGGCGGCATTGTTCAAGGCCTAACTTAACGAGCCGATTGAGTCGTGCTTGTTTCGCAACAAAATCGGAGAAGGAGACGGAGGAAGGGTTGGGGAGGAGGGTGGAAGAGCACGAGGCGGTGATGATCTCGTCCGGCAGGTAGAGGATGTCACCGGTGGAGTAAAGTGCACTCTGAGATCAAGGGTACACAGTTCATGATGAGGAGGGGCCGGGTCCCGCGGCGGCCGAAGTAGTGGGTGTCGCAGGTTTGTTCACATGTCGAGTGAACTGGTTGGCGTTGGGGCCGTTTGTTTGCGGGTGTCCAAGCTGCCGGCAACAGAAGCAGCCATTGTTGGCCTGCAGGTAGGCGCGTTCCTCGGTTGTGAGTTTCTTGAGACGGGGGGTTGGGTGGAGGAAGATGGTCGAGCCATGCAGTTCTTGCATTCCATATGCAAGAACTGGATGGTGTTGAGTTCCTTCGAACTGAGGGACACCGGGGCAAAGGAGTCGGAGATGGTGTCGAGCTCAACGAGAGGGGCTGTAAACTCGCCGTTGGAGGGGGACGCTATGGTGGTCTCACCTACAGAGATGTTGTAAAAGAACTGTGGGCGGGAGGTGGTGGGACCGCGGACGGGGCAGAGAAGGCGACCGTGTTGAAGGGCACAGGTGAGGAGGTCGGTGAAGGACATGGGTGGCTCGTAGGCGAGGGCAGCTGCGATGTCCTTTCAGCAAACCCGCTTGAAGCGGGAGATGAAGACATTGGCGCTGATCTGCTCATGGGGAATGTTTTGGTGGAAGGTACAGACATATTGGACGAAGCGGTCGGTGGGGCCATTTTGGAGAAGCCTGCAAAACTGGTTGACGTAGTCGTCGATTGTCTTTTGCAGGCGGAAGGTGGCGGAGAGGAGGGAGGCCCACTCGAGGAAGGAGAGGGGAGGTAGGCCGGCGGAGTGTCGATTGGCGGATTCGGTGATCCACCATCGATGGGCGGTGTCGACGAGTTTGTTGACGGCGATGGAAAGCCAGTGGATAAGGGGGATGTTGTGGAGTTCGAAAGCTTGTTGTAACTTGGCGAGGAAGAGGAGAACGTTGTCATGGGAGTGTTCGGAGAAGGCGGGAATGTCTTGGAGGCGAAGGGATGGGGGAAGGTAGCCGGTTTTGGGGACACGGCGTGTGAGGGTGTTGAAGTCAGAGGATGTGGGTGCGGTCGTGATGCAGGTGTAGTTGTCGGTGGGGTTGGTAGGGACAAGGTTCCGGGGGGGAGGTTGGGGGAAGGCGGGGAGGAGCATCGAGGATGACGTGTGGGGGATTTTGGTGACTTGCGTTCAGGTAAGCGGGATGGATGTGATGGTCAAAGTGGTCAAGATAGAAGCGGAGATGTGTTGGTGAGGAGGGAGGGAGGAAAGGTGTGATGGTGGGGGTGGAATGTGGGGGGGTTGAAGTGGACGAAGTGGGGGATGGGGTAGAGTTGCTGGAGGACGGGGTGGTTGATGATGACGAAGGAGGAGAAGAGATGGAGGAGGCATGGTGGTGGAGGTCGGAGTGGAGGAGGTGGTCGGTCCGGATGTGGAAGGGGGTGGAGTTGTAGTTAACACGATGATGGCCGGAGCTTGTTGCTCGAAAGTGGTCGTGCGATTGGAGAGAGCGGAGATAGTGGTTTGCATGTCAGTACGGGACGTGTGGACGGTGGAGAACATTTGGAGGATTGGCGAGAGGTCGGTGGCGATGCCGGGGCCAGCTCATTGTTCGCCTGCAAGTTCATAGGCGAGACTACCGACGGAATGGGTGTGCGTGGGGGACATGTTGATACTGGAAGACTCAGCCATGGGTTTGGTGGGGGGTGATGCGGTGGTGGTGGCGATGGCAGAGGCGAAAGTGGCAGCAGTGGATGAGGTGATAGCGGCAGCAGCAACTGAAGTGCAGCAGCAGATGAGGCGGCAGCGGCTTCAACATCTTTGCACGAGGTGTTGGTTTGGCGCTTCATGCCCCAGGGGGAGGGGGGTTGAAGGCTTTTATTTACAAAATGAAGAGGATTTTGAATGTTTTATTGAAAAATGAAGGGGGAAAAAGAAAGAATTAATTCCGAATAAAGAGATTAATTCTGGCGTGGATTAATTGAAATTATTCGAAAATAATTGATGAGTTCAGAAATACATTTGACAAGAAAATTTTTCGAAAAAGAATTGATTAACTGTAAAGTATTTTCGAATTACAAGAAAAAGAATTAACTTCAATTAAGTAACTCTAAAGTCTTGTCGAATTACAAAAGGATTTCGAAAAAGAATTGATTAATTCTAAATTATTTTTGAATTATAAAAAAGAAATCAAAAAAGAATTAATTAAGTATTTTTGAATTACAAGAAAAAAAAAAACAAAAAAGAATTAATTAATCCTACCCCTTCAGCGCGAGCGGCCCGCGGGGGGAGGTTGTGCTCCGCTGCGTGCCGGAATCGGGCCGAAGTTTTGATTCGGGCCGGCGGATGAAGGCGATCGAGGGAGGGGCAACGTGCAGAGCGGTGCGCGTACCGAATTGTTCACAACGCGCCAAAAAGCGAGAGACCACGCCCATCGGCCCAGGCAGCGGCGGGCGTTGATGCGAGGGAACATCTCGAAGCGTCTGCCGTTGGATAGCAAGAAAGCGTCGTTTTGTGGCGCGCCCCTTTTTTTTTTCTTTTGGCGTTTTTTTTTTTTTTACCTTCTTTTCTTTCCCTTTTTCGTTTCTCTTTTTTCTCTTTTTATTTTGCTGTTGTCTTCTTGGCGTTTTTGGCGGCCGGCGCGGGTGGCGACAAGAGGGCCCTGGGTGGGAAAATGGAAAAAAGAAAAGTTTGAGGGCCTGCCTGCTTGCCTGCCCGCCCGCCCACTCACGCACACACACACAC